ACATTTGAAAATTATTACTTTTTGTGTGACTTACTTGTGTATACCGATGACGCGCCACCGTATACGACCAATATACGACAGCTGTCGTACAACCGCCGAAAATCACTCCGAAAATCACCAGCCCGACAACAATCCAAGTTGACATTGAGGCAGAAAACGGTGTAGTCGTCCAAGATCTATTACTTGACTTAGTTTCTTTCGAAACGGTCACCGTCTGACGTTTGACATCCGGATACGTCATTTCTTCTACGGCAACCGACGTTACAACAGCTACGTTGGAAAAAGAAGAACTTGCTGTCGTACTTATTATCGGAAAGGCTGTCGTCGATGGCGTGGTAGTCCCCGTCGAAGAATCTGATCTTGAGGCACCGTCACCTTCTTGACCAAAACATTCACCGCCTACCAGTTCAATCTTGTGGCTGCTCGAAGCTCCGACACAGGAAACGTTGCCGTCAAGAATTTTTTTGTGTGACTTACTTGTGTATACCGATGACGCGCCACCGTATACGACCAATATACGACAGCTGTCGTACAGCCGCCGAAAATCACTCCGAAGATCACCAACCCGACAACAATCCAAGTTGACATTGAGGCAGAAAACGGTGTAGTCGTCCAAGACCTATTACTGGACTTCGTCTCTTTCGAAACGGTCACCGTCTGACGCTTGACATCCGGATACGTCATTTCCTCCACGGCAACCGACGTCACAACAGCTACGTTGGAAAAAGAAGAACTTGCCGTCGTACTTATTATTGGAGAAGCTGTCGTCGATGGCGTGGTAGTCCCCGTCGAAGATTCCGATCTTGAGGCACCGTCACTTTCTTGACCAAAACATTCACCGCCTACCAACTCAATCTTGTGACTGCTCGAAGCTCCGACACAAGAAACGTTGCCGTCAAGGATGACCATCTGTGCATTTTTAATAATTTTTATTTTTTCGGAATGACGTGAATTTATTTTCTTACCGATATTCCGTTGAACGACGCGCAGTCTAGATTCAATTCCTGTCCATCTAATTTGACTATACCATCGTACGCATACGCGTTACGGACACCCTCCTTACATAAATCTTTACA